CATAGTATAGTATGATGTTGAAAATGTGCAAAAATTATTCATAGTATAGTATGATGTCGAAAATGTGCAAAAATAAGTCATGGGTTACTATGACTTCAAAAATTGCAAAATTAGTCATTTTGCAATGACTAATGACATTTCACATGTTGTCGAAAATGTGCAAAAATTAGTCATAGTATAGTATGATGTTGAAAATGTGCAAAAATTATTCATAGTATAGTATGATGTCGAAAATGTGCAAAAATAAGTCATGGGTTACTATGACTTCAAAAATTGCAAAATTAGTCATAGTATAGTATGATGTCGAAAATGTGCAAAAATGAGTCATAGTATAGTATGATGTCGAAAATGTGCAAAAATTAGTGATAGTATAGTATGATTGGATTAGAATTGGAAAATGAGTCATACTCATTTTCTAATCTTTGAAGTCATAGTAACCCATGACTTATTTTTGCACATTTTCGACATCATACTATACTATGAATAATTTTTGCACATTTTCGACATCATACTTATACTGACTTTTGCAAATTTATGAGAACATAGTATACTATGACTCATTTTCCAATTTTTGAAGTCATAGTAACCTACCTATGTGTCATTTTTGCACATTTTCGATGTCATGTAACCTATGACTAATTATTGCACATTTTAGACATCGTACTATACTATAACTCATTTTACAATTTTTGAAGTCATAGTAACCTTCAAAAAGTAACCAATTTATGTGTCATTTTTGCATATTTTCAACATCATACTATATATATAGTGAGTCATTTTGCAATTTTTGAAGTCATAGTAACCTGTCATTTTTTCACTTTTTCAATGTCATAGTAACCTGACTAACTTTTGCACATTTTCGACATCATACTATATAGTATGACTCATTTTGCAATTTTTGAAGTCATAGTAACCTTTGTTTAATTTTTGCACATTTTCTACTTCACATCATGACTCATTTTTGCACATTTTCAAGATCATACTACAGTATGACTCATTTTCCAATTTTTGATGTCATAGTAACCTATGTGTCATTTTACCACATTTTCGATGACATACAATACTATGACATCGAAAATGGGGTATGGAATAAACAATTTGCTAAAATGAAGCATATGATGTAAAAAATTATCTAAAATTAAACATAGTATACTATGATAAAGAATGAGGTAAATAGTATACATCGATGTCAAACATGAGGTAAAATGACAGCATACTGTGATGTCAAAAAACAGGTGAAATAGGATATAGAAAATGAAGTAAAATAGTTTACTATGACGTCAAAGTTCAGGTACAATGGCACATACTATATACTATTATGTCTAAAATGAGGTAAAATAGGACAGTATAGTATGAGCATAAAAACACTGCAGTATGTTTTTGGGGTCTCTAGAATGTGAAGACTTATTTATTAACTATCGGATTAAGTCTTTCAATTTCTCACATTTGAGAATGATTGCTTCATTCTGCACAGCCTTCCTTTGTTCCAGCTTCAGAAACTAAATTATGAAACAGCAGAACTTTTTCTCAGGATTGATAAAAATGAGACAACACTGATATCTGCAACATTTTAATTGAACACACATTAAAATTCTGTGACAGTTTCAAGTCAAACTGTAAGTGACACAATGCACAGGAAAAATGGCACCAACGACATACAAGTTTGGACTGGACACACTAAGCAAGAGAAAGAACCGTGAAATGTTCAGAGTTCCCACAGTCCTCTGAGAGTGAAGATTTACATTTACAACCTTAGAAAAAAAGCCTAAAGCAACAGTTTCACAAGAAGTTCTGAGCAATAACGAGCAGTTAATCAGCAGTTTTATGTACAGTTCATCTGATATCTAACAGTGAAATGGAGCCATAAGCAGACTGAGGCGACTGAGGAACCACAAGGCCACAACACCAAGCTGCTCAACAGAAACTGTGCTTTTCTTTACTCCCACATTCACTAAAATCTGTGTACAAAAACACACGGTGTCCTCAAAATGCTCCACTCTCTGTTTTATTCCTGCTCCACATGTAATAAAGTTCAGTCTGAACTTGTAACCAAACAGCTGTCAAAATCTAAATACAAACACAAAGCTGACATTACAGCATCAATACTGGTGCATTATAAATATGTGGAACTCCAGCAAGTTATCAGCATGAAAATATAAAAATGAAAAACTCTTGATTCTTTAAATGAAACATTTTCATTAATAATGGGATACAGTTCTATTTTTACCAAGATCGATTTTTTAATAAAATCAGAAAAATGAAAAATGTTACTTTTGATAAAACAGATTTTGTCAGTATAGTTTCACCAGAAGTAAAAGATTTTAAAATAAGGCCATGAAAACCAAAACTCTTAGTTTCTGAAGCTGAAAACTGCAATGATGAGAGAAGCTGAGCTTTTATTTTGACGACACCGTGCACTTCCTGAATGCAGAGTAATAGTTTGGGTTCGGCGAGCTCGCCTCTGTTCAGGAGACATTCTCTTAAGTCATGGAGCGGAGATCCAGAGTGATTCCAACCTTGAAGTCATAAAATTAGAACAAAGATGAAAAACCAAAACTTGATATGGAAAAAACAGCAGACACTTCACAGAACGGCCACTGGGGGGCGCCACACATTCCTGAATTTTACTCACCAGGTCTTTATAACAACTCCAAAAATAATTTAGTTTTTCTATATTCAGAGTTTAAAAATATGTTTCTCCAGTATGTTCTGTGAATTAAAATAAACAGATATTTGATCATTCCAGATTTACAGATATAATGAGTAACATTTACTGCCACCTAGTGTTAAAGACGAGAACAGCATGATTAGCTTTGATCCCAGAGACGTTTTCATCAAACTGACTGGTTTCATCTTCATCGCCTTAAGCTTCCTGGTTTAAGGCGGTGAAGATGTTTTGGTCTTTTCTTCTTGTTAAACATTTTGACTTTAAACTTGAATTTTAGATTTAGAGAAAACAAACATCTGGGATTATTTAATCCAGACGCACCAATGATGAGCTACTAAGTGTTAAATGGATTTTTGGAGCATTGAGTTTAATCCCTTAATCTGCCTGAAGCTGACTGGATTTATTCTGGCGGATCGTTTCTGTCCAGGGGAGCTGCAGGGTCAAAGGTCAGACGGAAAGAAGGAGGAGGTTCAGCCAGCAGCTGATTTCCGGCTGCGGTTCTGATCAGATGTTTGAGCCTTTGTCTCCAAACCAGATCTGCTGCCTGGAAATTCCCAGAATTCCCTCTTCCTGAAGCCCATGTGCTCCGGTTCTGATGAAGCATCGCTGCCGGTGCTGAAGCTCTTCTTCAGTTTGAAGCAAAGCGATGGAAACGCAGCCATCGCTCCACAGGTTCGTTCTTCCCTTCGCCTCAGTGCAAAGTTAAACTGCGGCATTCCCAGTCCTCCCAGCCTTAAACAACCTGGCCGTTCTATTCCTGTGTTTGGGGGTTCTGCAGCTCTGGGATCAGTTCTAATGGCAGTGTCCAATCAGTGTCCTGCTAACCGCCAGCGCCGACTGAAGCAGAAACTAAATGTGACAAAGCAAAGGAAGTCGGTGCGCAGGCTTCCAGCAAATCCTGAGATAAAAAAAAAAACGACATCAAATGGAAAACTGCTGACTCAGACCAACAGAGGTCAGAGGTCCTGCATCATGGTGGGTCACTGGAAACAGCATGAATGGTTCTGGTTCTGGTCAGTCAGTGAAAGATCCTTAAGGCAGAACTCCATCAAACGATGGGACACCGAGTCAAAGAAAAGCCGGGGTCAGAGGTCACTCTGTCATGTTGGTTCTGATGATGAAGTGGGTCATCTTCTACAGAGAATGGATGCCTGAAGCGCCGCCATCGCTGTTGCCGCCTGCAAGACAACGAGCAGTGCAGAGGAGAACCTGGTCAGCACACCGGATGCCAACTGGTGCATCCAGTTAGCATGATGCTAACCTCAGGATGGATCTGCTGGGAACGCTCAGGATCCGACATTCAGCTGGAAAAATCCAGAATTCAACCAACTGGTCGATATCCAAACTACACGTCTAAAGAAAACAGCAACCAACCAACCAATCATTTTACCAATTATTCAATCAACTAACCTGAATAACCAGCTAAATGATAAACTTCCTGTCAGGACGGACCAAGAACCAGCTGCAGGAAGTGGTTCTGAGCCCAGTTCTGATTGTACCCGGTTCTAAATCAGCTGGTACCGGTACCAGCCGAAGGTTCCCTGGACTTGGACTCACATCTCATTATGTCTTGCTGGAGTTCTCGTAGATGACATCAGATGTGATGGACTGCTGCTTCTTCTTCTGCCACATCAGGAGGACGCACTGATGGATGAAGACGTACTGCTCCTGCACACACACACACACACACACACACGGTCTGTATTGTGGCAGAGGGTGTGTGTGTGTGTGTTGGGTGCTGAAGCCCGGACTCGTCCTGACCTCGGTCTGGACCATGGACAGCCGGTGGGACCTCATGTCCGACACCATACCCAGGATGTCCACGAACTCGTGTTCCCGGATGTGCTGCATCAGGCGGTCCAGGGCCATGAAGGTCCCGGTTCTGCCCACGCCGGCGCTGGAACAGAAACATCTGGGATCTAACGGGTCTCCAGCAGAACCAACGACCTCCAGCGCTAAACATTTCTTGGTTTCTAATATGCCCGGTTCTGCAAGGTCACCTGACTGATTATATGACATCAGAACCAGACCTGGACCTTCTGGAACCAGTTGGTGACCGACCTGCAGTGGACGATGATGGGGTCCTTGGTCCTGTTGGCCTGCTGCCGGACGATGTGGACGAACTGCAGGATGCTTTCGATGGCGTTGACCGTGGGAACGCCGTGATCCGGCCACGAGGTGTAGTTCAGGTGGAGGACGTCCAGGGTCTCGTCCGCCTGCAGGGGGAGGCAGAGAGTCATGGCAGTTCTGATCGGTCCTTTAAAGCCACGTCCTGCAGGAGAAGACGACTCACATATCCAAGTCGAAACTTCCTGATGATCCACTCTGGAGAGCCTTCCTCAGAAAGCATCTCCACACTGATGTCACCGTACATTACCGGCTCGTCTGTGAACGGCCAGTAGTGGTCGCACTTCACCTGGAAAAACCAAAACATCAGCTGGGAGGAGCAGGAAATGTAGATACAACTACCAGCCAGCAGGGGGCAGAATAAACACTGAGCTTCACTAAACAAGGACCAGCCAGCAGGGGGCAGACTCGAGCCTGTATTTGACTGTAGATCTAAGACATACTGGTAGGAACAGCGCCACCTAGTGACACTGTTCCTAGACCAGAAATGTTTCTAATAAATAGGACGTGAATTTGAACCGGACCGGCTGCTCACCCTGCGGCGCTCGTTGCATTGAGTCAGCATGACGATGATAGACGACTTCTGCTGCAGAACCATCTTCCAGAAATCGTTGCGCGTCTCCGGCAGTGGCCCCTGGGTGGCGATGTACTCCTTGGAATGTCGGTATCCCTGAAACAGAAACCGGATGACAGGAACTGGAACAGAATCAGGAGCACAACAGTCAGCTCAGATATTTAATGCTCAGAATGTCAGAAAAGCCAAACTGCTCTTTAGATTCAGACGGTTTCAGAACCAGGACAGTTTCTGGGACAACTGAATCAGGAGCCAATCAGGATCCAATATCAGTTTCAGATTTTTGTCATAATCAGAAACTTCAGCCGTTATTTTAAACCAGCTGAGAGATTTATTAGTTACTTCCTGTTTCTATCTGCAATACAAAACAACTTCTGCTTTTGTTTTATGACTTGGCTCCTAAACAAACATAGCACCAATAAATCTGCCTTTTTACACCTTTATGACATCAGCAGAATAAAGACTTTCTGTCTAAACAGCAAGAACAGAATTTAAACTTTCTGATGGCCTAAAAAGCCATAACTGGGCTTTATGGACCATTTCTCTGGGATTCCTGGTCCAGTCAGAACCATATGGACCCTTCAGGACTTCAGGGACCTGCTGATCCAGTGTTTCCAGAACCAGAACCAGGTGAGGCAGCATTTAGCTTCTCTGTTCCTCAGCTCTGGAACCTGAACCTCAGACAATCAGAACCTGCTGGTTCCTGTAAATCAGAACTGGACCGTTTGTTGTTTCTGGGTCGTTCTGGTACCGTCAACGCGCCACCCGTACTCCTCTCATTAATGGCTCAGTCTTATCAGTACCGTTCGCCTGGCAGGTCCAAACATCAGTTCTGGTTCTGCGGAGTTCTGGCTCAGGTTCTGGTTTCTGTCTCTACGCAGTTGATGCTGAGACATTAAACATGTTCCTGAGCTACAGAGGTTTCACTCTGAGAGACCTAACAGGAGCCTTCAGGTCATGTGATCAGGTCCTGCTAGCTGAGCAGCATGCTAGCCTGGAAGCTAAAGAGGGCGGAGCCTCCAGGCTGTCTTCTCTCTGAACTCGTCTTTTCCTTTTTCCGTTTTATTGGTTATTTTTATAAGAAGCTCTTTGAGATATTCTGAACATCAGATGAAACTTTCTCTTTCAATCTATGAACCACCAGCTCCCCCTGGTGGCCAGCTGTGGAGGTGCATTTCTCATTAAATATGAAGGTTTCTGCATTTGGGCCAAGGTGGACAGAGCCGTTGGTGTTCTGGAAGTTCTGGGAGAGGAAGCGGAGCCGGCGGATACTCACAGGGATGTAGTTGGCGTTGATGTAGTCGGCACCTTCGTCGTTGTGCATGGAGACCAGCTTGACCCGACTGAAGTCATCTGAGAGAGGAGGGTAGTTAGTCAGGAGATGAACTACAGATGCTGTCAGACTTCAGCAGAACCTGGTCTGGATCTGGAACCGGGTTCAGACCGGGTCCGGACTCACAGGGTAGGATGTTGGTGTATCGGTTCTTGGGCCTGTTGACCGGCAGGTCGGCGGCATCATGGGTCAGATCCAGGCCGACGCTCTTCAGCTCCTGGAAAACATTCAGAGCAGATTTCAGTTCTGATGGAGAACCGACCCGTTTCTAAACCCATCCAGCTCTGCAGCCCGGCGGTTCCCCCTGGAGGACAGGACGTCTCCAAGTCGTACCTCGAACTGCAGGGAGAACTTGTAGGCGGAGTCTTTGCTCATGTCCTTGAAGTAGGCCTCGAAGTCGTCCAGCTGCACCAGGCTGCAAACACAAACCAAGTCAGACGGTTCTGAGAAGTTCTGACCTCCGGTCCAAACCGCTACCTGGGAGCGCTCAGAGGAAATCAGTAATCCTAATCTAATCCTCATCCTGACGGTTCATGCTGGAGCTCAGGGTTCAGAGTCTGGCTCCACCGGGTCCAAAACCCAGAACATTCCAGCCTCCTCTTCCCAAACCAGAACCTCCCAACAGAACCATAATGACCCAAAGGTGCATCGGCTGAGTTCAGTGGTGCCGCTCAGACCGCCAAACATCAGAACGGCTGACAGCCAATGAAAACCCAGAGCAGGATCAGAACAGTCAAATGGTTCTAATCCAGAATGTTCTGTTAAGGTTCTGTTCTGACTGGGATGAAGCAGTCTGGGCTTCCAGAACCACAGCAGGAAAATGTTCTGCTCCCTCATCAGAACCAGCAGAACCGGCAGGTCCCAGAAACAGGATTTTCCTGTCTGGCTCCTGATTGGTCCGAACGTTTTCAGCTGTCCAACGGGGCACAGTTTCTGCTGAGGACACGCCCTCCTGCCTCAGAGAAGATCTAAGCCCACAGCATTATACCACCTCTACCACCAGCTGGTGAAGGACGAAGGTTCTGTTGCAGAACCGTAGGAGCGGATCGGTCCAGCTGCTGGTTCCGGATGTTCTTCTGCTCTCCAGGAGGAGGAATGTCAGACTGGATTAACTTCCTGCTTTTGTTCCCAAACTGGAGATCAACAGAACCTCTCCGACTCGACATGGCGCCGATTCTGGACCCGATCCAGATTAACGACACTTTCCTGTTTCTGAGATCAGTCTGGGATGAAGGAGTGACGGATTATCTCCCAGATTAGATGGGATGAGTGAAGGACGGATGGAGCAGCGGATGGGTGAAGGTTAAAGGTCAGGGTTAAAGGTCAGGGTGGAGCTGATGGCTGAAGCTTCAGGACTCGGTTACCTGGTTAGCTTTCGTTTCTTTAAAGCCGTTTTGCTCCTAAAAACACAAAGAGCGTGAAATCCAAACATCATCATCATCATCATCACCAACAGCAGCAGCTCAGGACCGTCTGTGCAGCAGCACCGCCCCCTGCTGGCGCTTCACAGTCACTAACTTTACTGTGGTGAATATTTTGGTTCTTCATAAAGTTTTTTCTGCTGCAGCTCAGAGGTTCATGTGGAACCAGAATTTACTGGACTTTCATCATCAGAACTTTAGAGTCCAGTGACGTGGTTCTGATCCGTTTCCATGGTTTCCTTTGAACTGTGGAAAACAGCAGCTGCACAGACGAGTCCTGTGGGTTATTGGAGGTTTAACACCGTATTTCCTCTACATAAAATATCATTTTACTATTCCCGAGGTTCTTTTTATTATAACACGATATTTTCTTCAAATAAAAATACTCAATTGCACAATTTTAATAAATTTATTGTTAAGATGCTTTTATAATTTACTAATCTTAGATTTTAGATTTTCTGCATTCTGCATTGATAATAAAATCTCAGTATAAAAAATTAAAAGTTAATTTAAAAAAATAAAAACTGAAAAATCTGATGTATTTGTGGGATAATCCCCTCTATTAGAGGAAATACGGTAGAAACACAGGCAGGAAGCCTGTGGCTGCAAGTTTCCATCTGTCTGCTTTTACATCATAAAACACTTTCATTTATACTAAAAAGTTGAATTTGGGAACAGATTTGTTTTCTTTGATTTTTACAAACAGAATTTTAAATCTATACTTTCTAGCTATATTTTAGTTCATAAAAAAAGTTTAATTATCACGGTAACAAGTCGGTGAAATGTTTCACCAGAACAAAATATGAGAAAATAATTTCTTTCTTGAAGAAACGTTTTTTTCAGCCACAGGCTTCCAGATACCTTTCAGAGAAGAAGCCAAACATGAGATCACCACCATGCAGACGGCCGAACCCGAACCCATTACCTGCCTGGCACCGGCTCCATCAGGCTGGACTTTACTCTAAGCCATTCATGCTTTTACTTTGAAATGCCTCTGGATTCGCAAGAAACCAGGATCATGCATATCTACAGAGCCTGAGCTACTGAGTGACTGACGGCATGCGGCGAAGCAGAGTCAGCATCATGCTGCGGACGTCCGCCGTGTCGGAACGATCCGCCACAGTTCAGCGCGATGCTAACACTTTCCAGAGGGAGGAATGTCGACGCTGCAGAGTCTGGTGTGTCTGAACAGCCACAAAAATATCAGGATTTACATGATATTTTCAGAAAATCATGAAATACTGAGCAAACGATCCAACAGGAACGCACTGGCTCACGTCATGAAGTCGTTTCTGCTGGTCTTAAAAAAGCCAAATGAAAGAAATAATGATAAAACTTCAGGTTATTTAAACTTTTCTCTTGAAAAATCTGTTGAAAATGGCCAAAACATCCAAATCACCAATTTATAAAGTTACAATTATATAAAAAAGTTTGTTTTTATTTGAGAAAACTGATCAGCAGAGAAAAGTAAACTCCTGCTGTTTCAATGGTTTCCATGAAGCAAAAGCAAACAGTAAAAACTTCTGGATAAATGTGTTTGAGGGCCAAGAATGCAGCCCTGATGAACACCATGGAGTTCATTTCCTCCGTTCACAGAGGACAACCCAGTTCCTGGTTCAGAGCTCTGAGGGACTCCAAGAGACTGTGGAAGAATTAACACACACCAGGCTGATCTGAGCGTCTCTGAGTTCAAACTGTGAGCGATGGACTGTGGCGGGTGAACATGCCCCAAAGTGCAGCAGGCGCTTACTTACCACGGATTAATATAAAAAGCCAAAAGATAGTCAGTCCAAAGGCAGGATGGCAGGAGGGTAAGAAAGGCAAAGAGGCTTCTTCGCCTGAAGGTTCAAATAAACAGACACAAAAAGAGAAAATAAAGAGAACAGACACCAGAGGGCGACAGGGAGGACAAAACATGGAGCTACATTAGTAAAGAGGCTTCAATTAGTGCAGAGTTAAAGCATTGCTGCCTCACTGAACAGCCATGACATCACCGCTGAGCTCAGCAACGAGGGGGGGAGGGGCGTCATAAAGCAGCAGAGGCAGACTGGGAGTGAAACCGTCAACCAGAACCAGAAAACCCGAATCAGCATTACTGTGGAATAGTTCAAGTAAATGTTGGTTGGCTCTCTGGAACAGATCCAATGGGACCCATCCAGTCCTTGGCTGGTTCTGACTGAAATCACCTTCGTCCTCCTCTTCCTCACAGAAACACAGCTGCCCTTCACAATAAGAGCACGACACGCTGATGAAATGTTTAGTGATGGTGTTCTGCCTTCACTGACTGCCTTTCAGCTCTTATATTAACCATCAGAACCAGAACCAGAACCTTCAGCCACAGCACCGACTCAGAGGCTTTTATTTTGAAAAGATAACTAATGGACTGCTCTCATTTCTGTTTTTAGGTATTTGAAAGAACAACTGGCTCTTAAAGCTGCAGATTAGACCCGAGCCTTCATCTTCAACAAACAGCATCTATCATCATCATCATTATCGTCGCCTTCGTCGTCTTAAAGGGCTACACACAACATTAAAGCTGCAGGTGCAAGTTCACATCCTAATCTGCCTCATCAATCTGTCCCTCCACTGGGCTGCTTCCTGTTGGGTGTGTGCAGCTGTGAAATGAGGAAGTGATGCTGCGGCGGCCCGTCGCCAACGGCAACCCAACCGCCTGCAGCAGCAGCAGAAGAAGAAGAGAAGCGTACCAGTTGTAGGGAAGCTTCCCGTCTCGCTCAAACGAGGCGAAGTTAACGAAGGTCTCGGCGCTGCAGTTCCTGCAACACGAAGCGACGGGATCAGACAGGAAGTCACGGAAAAACAGGAAGTCAGCAGGAAGTGAAGAATAACGGAAAATCAGCTTCTATGTGCTCAATTCAAACCACGTTACGCAACACAATTATTTTCACTTCATTTTATTTTTTCACTAAATAAGGAAGTTAAAAAATGACATGAAACAAAAGACAAAAAAATAAAAACCCAGAGCGACCAAAACAGAAACTAAAATAAAATATAAAACACCAAAAATAAAACTATAAATACAGAAACAAAATCTTTACTAACCCAAAGAGACTTAAATCTACACCCAAGTAAAAAAAAGTAGAAATAAAGAAAAATCACAACAAAACAAATGATAGCAAAATCCTACAGAAATTAAAAGTATTTAATTAAGTCATCCCGGTTTTTTATTTAATTTAATTTAATTTATTAATAATCAGGACTAAAAACTTCCAGTGGCTTCTAATAAAATGCAGAATTGGCCACAAACATTTAATAAAGTTGGAAAAATAAAGCAGAAATGAGCCAAATTCACACAAGAACAAATCTAGAAAAAGATGAAAACGTTCAGTTATGCTTTGCTGTTTATGTTTTCAATCTGACAAACCTGGAAAAGGTTTTGGTTTTAAATCTACAATCATTTCTGCTTTATACAGAAATTCAACAGCTTAATTAAAATATTGCGTTAATAGTTGATTTAGTAGACAAAAATAAAAGTTTTTGTTGTAATTATTAAAAGGGAAAATTCTAGCAGAAGCTCCCTTCCAGTTTAGACACCAGATGGACATCAGATTATTATTATTATTATTTTTATAATTATTATTGTCATTCTGTTGATGTTGTTGGTATTTTAATAAATCCTGTTTTCTGAACATTTCAACATTTAGGATTAGGGTTCTCAGGATGAACAGGTCTGCCTCCTGTTGCCATGGTGACGGCGCTGATGCGGAGACTCACCTGGTCATCTCCAAGTGTTTCTTGCGGAGGACGAGCAGGAAGAGGACGAGAAGGCTGATGAGCAGGAGGCTCAGCACGGCCAGCGCCGAGATGGCCGCCATGCTCGGGTTCATCTCTTTGGCTGCAGACGCGCGCGCACACACACACACACACACACACACACACACACACACACACACACACACACAGTTACATTATCAGAAGACGGAGCCTACACTGCTCTTCCTATTCAACACCTTCACGATAAAAGCCTCCTGCTGGCTTTAATGAGGCGAATTTAAACAAATGCAGGAATAATTCTCAGTGAGATCATCAGGCCCATGAATCACACAGGAAGTCCAGCAGGAAGTGGATTTAATGTCAGGGAAGACATGGTCATCAGTTATTTAAATTCTAGTTCCGCAAACTGAAGATGACAGGAAGTCTTTATTTATAACTTCCTGTTTGAATCTAATTCCCTTAAAGATATTTCAGTTTAGAAGTGTTGGTTAATCTGCAGCAGGTCGATGAAACTCATCTCAACATGATCAGGAAAAAAAAACTAAAATCGACTTGAATTCATTTAATTAAAATAGAAGTTGGTCTTAAAAATGTTTACCATTTTCTGGTGGCAGCACCGTTTCATCTCTTGTAGTTTATTTTTCTAGCAGGATTTTTGTTTAAGGCAAATGCATACATCTCAAGGCGGATGATGCTAATGCTAACTAGCTGCTAATATACTCTAGCTAGCTTGTTTTTTAGGGTAAAAGTACATTTATCATCAGTTGCTGGGCGATGTTTGTCTTACGAAGTCAACCTGCATTCACTGTGTGGAGCGAAGCTCAGCAACTTTACTCTATTAAACATGTTTTAATAATGCAGGTCTTAAATCTCATTCGTTTTGGTCTTAAAAAGCCTTAAGTTTGAGTTGGTGAAACCTGCAGGAGCCAGAACCTCTGAGACCAGAACCGCTTCAGTGAGACTGCATTCAGAGGAAAGCAGAATAAAAAGCCTGCCACACCTTTCAGATTTTTACACTACTTGTGTTGATCTGGTTAAAACATGTTTAAGGTCTCCACAGTGCCCCCAACCTGCAGTGGTGACGGTGATGCGGGCCGGCCGGCTGGCTGAGCTGTAGCTGAAGCTCGTCACGCTGCAGTTGTAGCTGGACGACGGAACCAGACCCGAAACGGTCAGAACCTGAGCGGTGGAGGTGATGGGCTCTCCGGCCTGCAGGGGGAGCCACACGTCAGAACAGAACCACAACCCATTGGTCTGAGCATGCTCAGTGTGAGCCTTCTGACTGAACTTGGGCAAATGGTTCTGATCCAGAGAGCCTGACAGGTCAGAACCAGAACCACAGAGATCCTCCTGACAACTGATCCAGGTTCTGCTCATATCCATCCAGTTCACCAGGAAGTTCTGGAGAACCTTCAGCTTCTGGACCAGAATCGGGTCAGGCAGCAGAACCAGGACAGGCAGTTGCACTGTGGTCCATCATCTGGTTCCAGAACACATCAAAAACTCTTGGAGGGAATTTCAGAACCAGAACCAGGGCCTGAGGATTACTGTGGTCCAGATTATTATTCTGGACCAGATGGGCCGAGGTCAAACGGTTCCGGATCAGATGAGCATCAGAACTTTTCAGTAAATTCTGATGGAAACAAGAATAACTAAAAATCCAGTTTTTAGTCAGATTTATTTAAAACAGTAAATAAATCTGACAGAATACATTCAGTTAAAAAATTTTAACCATAAAAAAGAAGAAAACTAAAAAAAAATTACATGTGCTAGAAATTGGTTCGGATCAGAACTAGATTTGTGGTTCTGTGGGGAAACTTGATGATAAATAAAGAAAATCAGAAAAAACAAAAAAATATTGACGATAAAATCTCTTCCCCATTTTAACACTCAGCTTCTCTTTCTGCTGGTTCTGGCTCTGGGTCCGCTCGGCAGCAGAAGCCCTCCCACTCCTGAACCCAGATCCAGTGTGAGGCGGGCTTACCTTCAGCTCCTTGCTGGCCCAGTTGGGTCGGCACAGAACCTGGTAGTAGTCCACCACGCCGTCCTCGCTCCACAGCAGCGTGATGGACGAGTGCGTAGCGTTGACGGCGAGCAACAGGCGGGGAGGGGCCGGTTCTGCGGGACAAAAACTCCATCAGCTGGGCTGAACCGGGCTGAACCGGACCGCCGCCACTTCCTCTGAGCGGCCCCACTTAAAGATGCCAGAAGAGGAAGTGGACCCGGCCAGTTTCTGTTTCACTTTCACAGACAAGTCCGAATGCGCAGCGCTGGACGGGCAGAACCCAGCAGAACCTCTGAGCTAAAAAACTGAAACTAAAACATTTCATCCTGAGCCTGAGCCAGAGATGACCTACTTCCCGTTTGGTTATTGGAGGGGAGCAGCAGAACCAGAACCACTTCCTGGACCTGCAGAACCCATCTGGATGGACGAAGCCACGCCCACAACCTCTACCTGCAGCTGTCACACATGGCGGTGGCAGCACCATGCTGTGGGCTGAAATGTGAAGCAGCACCAACAACTGGAAGGAGACATTTGGGCTCTTCAGCCAATCACAATGGGTGTGGTCCAGATCCTGCTCACTGATTGGTTGAGGCAGTTTATGTATAATTCTGACCCTCCATGTATCAGAGGAAATCCTGAATAAAGATATGAATGAATGACAGGTGGGAGTCGCCATCTGTAGGTCCACTGCTGCTTGTTTTGAGCAGGTCATGGAGTTCTCTGGCGCCCCTAGTGGCAGAAAGGAGAACTACAACAACAAACCTGCCTCAGATCAAAGGTTCACATTTATTCCTGATTTCATGTTTTTAACATTTCTTCAGAAAA